AATTAACAAACGGAGACGTAACATTATCTTATAATTAGATGAGATTCGTAAATCCAGTCCAATCGTGGTAGGTTAATTTAAGTTTGAGATTCTATACGAATCTCTCTCAACTGAGATTAATATAGAATCTCAAACTTAATTTAAAAGGGAGAGCCTTTGGCTGATGTAGAAACAGGTACAATAACTGTAGCAGCAAACAGTATACAAGCTTTATGATTTCACCTATCATGGCCAAGTGGTTAGAGCGCTCGGCTTGCAATCTGCCGATCATGAGTTCGAATTCCTTCACTAAACATGTTCGCCCTTTCAGCCCTGTGACAGTCACTTCTACTGTTCGATTAGAGTAGCCCAAGAGTTGGCGGTGGGTGGTGTTAACTATCTGCCTTCCCTATAGTTTAGGGACGGCTAAGTAGCTTTTTGCGAAATTCAATAAACAAATTTTTGATTTCAACCATATTTGATGATTACAAAAATATAACTCTACTATTAACAGTCTTTTGTACTGATACCAACAATTTATAAAAATCTCTTTTTAAGACTAAATTAACATACGACGTGTGTTTCTAACACCAACACTTTTATCAAAATTTTAATGATTGCATATTTGTTTTTAATCATATTTCAATTAAAAAAACTATACAATAATTAATAATAACTTATTAATGTCAAAAATAACAGAGTATAGTAATATTTCAAGCTTAATAAGTAATAGTAGCTCAGTGGTAAGTCTGCAGGCTTACGACGCTAAAAACCAGGTTTCGATACACGTGGTGGGCATAGCAGATGCAGATAGCCCATAGGGTAGCTTTGCACTTAACAACAACCAACTAACCAAATAAAGTAAGTTTGATACATGCATTCACAGAGCGTGACAGACAGACAGACATTGGCTATTATATATATTGATGCCCCCCCCCCGATGGCTTAGCGGTAAGTCAGTGGACTTATGATACTGAAAATCTGGTTTCGATACCCGTTGTAAGCAGAGCACAGATAGCCCATTGTGTAATTCTGTGATTTTCAACAAACAAACAAATATAAAAAGATTAATAAAATGTTATATACACCTTATGAAAAAAATACAGTAATTTATGTATATTATTTCATGCTATCCTCACTAGATGGTGTTTGCTTTTTTACTAGGCTAGTCTAAACCAGTTGACAAACGATTGGGTAAATCAATTAGTTAGGCTTATTAATGTTTCATATTTTGTTCAGGTTAAAGAATGTGTGCTTGGGTTCTTTGTTGAAAACGTACACTAATCTATAAATGAAACTCAATTATGTATTGAATAAAAATATACAAAGGCTTTCAATTTACGATAGTTAGTCAACTTGAAATAAGTGCAATAAGTTAAAAGTAAAATAACTTTTTAATAGAAATTCTATTCTTTTGTTTGTTTTTTTGGGGGGAAATATCGTAAGTGGAGCTTATGAATATTGTAAATTTTTTATAGAGGTGCTTAGCTTAACTTGAATGAAACTAAAGGGCGTAAATAAAGAATTACGCTAAGCCACTTGTTAATTTTACAGTATTGGTAACAACCTGTTTAACAACAAACAAGGATCATTTGACTTTGCTAGTGAAACTGATTTTAAAATTTGTATGATATACAAATACAATTGAGTTGGCAGTGATAACGACTAATAAAGAACTCGTACAAACGGCATACAGAATCTCAAGTTGTGAAGAGTTGAAATCGAATTGGAAGTTGTAAGTAGCCTATGTCAGTATGTGGTAATGGTAAGTCAATGGATAAATAAATACATTGGAAAAAATGCCTGAGAAGCTATTAACCAATTTTGGGTGTAACTCATATTTTTAAATATATAATTTACATTTCCATACACGTAAGGTAATGAATTCAGACAGTTAGTTGACCTTATAATCTAAACTTGTAAATTCTGTTTTATATTATTATTAATTAGGCCTGAAATTTTAAGCGAAATGATAGTGTAAGTATGACTGTCTGTTTCTACCCCCCCCCACCTCCCTAGAGGCTTACCAGTAAGTCTGAAGTCTAGATAACCCATTGCATAGCTTTGTGCTTAACAAGGAACAAAAACAAATTCTTCTAAAGAATATTTGAAATAAACCAAAATATCATTTGAGCATTCCTGAAATCAAAACAAGTAGGATCATAAGTTACATTATTAGTGATACATTTTGCAAAATCTGTGTTTAACTTGCTTTGTAATTTTTTTTTTTTGTCATTAGAACTTGGCGAAATAGCTCATCTTGACCACTGTAACAGCCTATTTAAACTGAAATAGTGATATAATTGATACTTGAAACTGTCGGTACTTGGTGAAACTTCATAATTACGAATTGAGGAAAAAAGGCAGTTGTACGTTTCACAAATACATCATTTATTCATCATCATGGTTTCACCAGTAAATGCATCATCATGGCAAAACCATGGTCATAAATAAATGATGTATTTGTGAAACATACAGTTGTCTTTCTTTCCCTCAGTTCTGAAATAGTGATATGATGATAATTGATATAATTTGGCCTTAGGCTTAGATATTTTCTAAAGCTAAAAACATTATCTTACATATGGCAGTAACTTAACTATTTGGTCCATGTAGACTATCTCAGTCCTCTTCACCCACAGAATAATCTATCCAAAGTAACATTCCAAGTAATTGTAACCATTTTTATCCACATTTTGAAAGTTGAGATATGTTTAAACCACCATCATACATCATGTGATAATATAAGAGACAATTAGGGGCCTGTTTGTCCATCAAGGCTGCCATCCATTTTAAAAGCAAAATACTTAATACCTTAATTATTCATAATTAATTTTCAATCATTACATTCTATCACTCGTATATACTACCTGTAAAACACTGTTCAACTTCTTAATGGCTATACTCTAGAGAAATAAATCTACAACTTTTAAGAGCCTCTACTAATACCTTAGATATGTCATTGTAGTAACCTGTCTTCACACTGTTTAATATTTTCTGAAATTTTCTCTATTTAGCATAACATTTAGAGACAAAAGGGGACTGTTGATTCATCTAGGCTGCCTCATCCATTAAACTAAACTATTAAAAAAATAATAATAGTTACAAAGCAGTTTTTATCATTCCAGTGTTTACCAAGCCTTTTACTGGTATTCCTGTCACAATTATAATTCAGATTATGATAACTTTTACATTACCTTGCATTTTTTAATTAAAAGCTATGTGCCATTTATTTGCCCATGTCACCAAATGATCTAAATCCTTTTGTAAAGCAGTAGCAGTATCCTGAAAGCCAGCAACACTCTAATATCACCAGCAAACTTAAGTAATTTATGGACCATTCCTTCATCCATGTCATTGATGTAAATCAAAAATGGCAAAGGTCCTAACTCTGAACCCTAAAATATTCAATTTGTGACATTAATCCAGTTTGACTGAACTCCATTTATAGCAACCTTCTGCTTTCTTACAACCAGCCACTTTTATATCTAATGAACCAGTTCATCCTCCACAATTTTTAAACAAGCTGTTTATGTGGCACCTTGTCAAATGCTTTCTGAAAATCCATATACATCAAATCCTTACCTTCATCTATATCAGCATTAACCTCTTCAAATAAAGTCAAAATATTTAGTAAGGCAAGATTTTCCCCTAGTAAAACCATGTTGATTATCCAACAAAGTTTTAATGTTTGTTAATTAAATGACTTTGCAAAGCATCTTTTATCAGATTTGCAAAACTTCTTCCACCACTAATGAAAGACTTGAGAGGAAATTCTTGTCACCTGTTTTGAAAATAGGAGTGATGCTATCCAACTTCAGTCCTCTGGTGCCCATCCACTATTCAGGGACTTACAAAAATAGTAGCAAGTGACTTACATTTTCAATCCTAAACCTTCTTAAAAACCCTCAAGGAAATATTATCTCAACCTTAAGTCTTATCATTCTTTAAACTTCCAATTTTCTTCTTAAGCTCAAATCTTGTTCAGTCTTGTTTCCATCTAGCAACTGTTCAGGAAGAGGAATATTACGTAAATCTTCATTAGCAAAAATTGAAGTAAAATTAGAATGTAATGACCCAGCCATCTCATAATCATTGTATATGAACCTTTGTTTATCATCTCCCAAAGGCCCAGATCCCATTCTAACATTTTGCTTACCCTTAATGTATTTAAAGAAATCCTTTCTCGTTAATTTTTACATTTTCAGCCAGTCTTTCTTCATATACCATTTTTGATTTCTAACTTCCTTTTTGACATCTTTCTTGATTTTATATGATCCTTTAAGTCTCCCATCATAGCAGTAAATTTAAACTTCTTAAGTATGTGATGCTCTTTTATTTTATCCCTAAATACCCTTTGTGAGCCAATTAGTTTAAAAAATTTTCCACAGTTGCCCAATTTTTGTTGCATCTCTCCAAAATTTGCTTTTTTAAAACTTGTAACTAAAATCCTATTATTCCTAACCTCCATATTCAGTAAGACATCAAACCTGATATAGTAATGAGTGTTGCACCCAGATGTTCTCCAGTCTCCACTCTCTCAACTATTTCTGTATTTGAAATTAACAATAAATCGAAATTATTATTGTTTCTATTAGATTCTCTGACCAATTGGTGAAAAAAAATCATCATGAAAAATTTCTAAAAACCTGTCTCCTTCGTGGTGTGACTCTTACTAATGAAACTTGTCTCTTTCGTGGTTTGACTCTAACTGAGAAAACTTGTCTCTTTGATGGTTTGACTCTTACTAAGGAAACTTGTCTCCTTTATTGGTTTGACTCTTACTAAGGAAACTTGTCTCCTTCATTGGTTTGACTCTTACTAAGGAAACTTTTCTCCTTCATTAGTTTGACTCTTACTAAGGAAACTTGTCTTCTACATTGGTTTGACTCTTACTAATGAAACTTGTCTCCTTCATTGGTTTGACTCTTACTAATGAAACTTGTCTCCTTCATTGGTTTGACTCTTACTAATGAAACTTGTCTCCTTCATGATTTGACTCTTACTTAGGAAACTTGTCTCCTTCATTAGTTTGACTCTTACTAAGAAAACTTGTCTCCTTCATTAGTTTGACTCTTACTAAGGAAACTTGTCTCCTTCATTAGTTTGACTCTTACTAAGGAAACCTGTCTCCTTCATTGGTTTGACTCTTACTAAGGAAACTTGTCTCCTTCATGATTTGACTCTCAAAACGACCTCATCATCCCTTGTAAATATGAGAAGCATTCACAGTCGAACTAATTCTTTTAAGTAACTTCATATTATCAGTGATTTTTAAAATATTCTATATTAGGAGGTTTCTAATTTTTTTCTATCAATTCCATATTAATTTAATTTAACTTACTTATCTGTAGTGAGACAACAGAGGTTTTTGAACATCAAGGTAAAGAGAATCAGTCAAAGTTCCTTCATCCAACAAAGTGATAATGATAAAAAAATATTAAAGTCATACTGAAAATTGTTAAGTAAATGTAAACTTTCCAATTTATGCTTTTTTAATGACTTCTGGCCACAGGACTCAACATCTTGTTAACAACAGAAATTCAGTTAATAGGCCCATGGGTGTTTGCAGGGGAGCATTTGCCCCCAACTTTCTCTGGAAAATTAGAAACATAATTCTTTATTCATTCAGCATATGTATCTGAAGTTTTTATTCACTTCACATACAATTTCACACTAATTCCACTCCCCCAGAAAAATTTCTGCAGATGTCTATGAATAGGCCTGTAGCTCCCTGAATCCTTGTTAGACCAGTTTACAAAATGGGAATAAGATCGGGAAACATTTTAACCATTAGAAATTTTTTATTGTAAAGAGGTTTTTGAAAAATAACAGTTAAAGCTCCACTAACTCTGAGCTTCTTGAAGATTTTAGTATGCAAAAAGTTTTAGAAAAAGTATGATCAAAGCCTACCAATTCTGCATTTGCCACCAATTCCAAATTCAAGTATAATGTCCCATTGTTAGCCTGTATCATCTTTGAAAGGTGAGCAGTGATGCTGCTAAGCATTAAGTTGTAAGTGTTGGACAATAAACAAGTAAAAGAATTGATTTAAAAGTTTCATTCATGTAATATTCTTGTTCCTTAGATTTATAGAAATTTTACAAGTTATACATCATTGTAGTCAGTAGTCCACTCATCAGTATTTAATTTGCCATTATTATCTTAAAGGTTTCCCATATTTCTTCTCAGTTTTTTCATATAATCTGAAAAACCTTTTCTAAACAAACTTGCAGTTATTAACTATCACCTTTTCATAAGTTAATCTTGTCTTTATTTATAGTTGGAGTGGCTTCCCTGTTAAAAAAATGGAAAATGATCTGAATCTTCAGCATATGTGTACATTTTTCTTATTTATAAGCTTAGTGTATCAAATTACTTCTCAGTATCTTTAATTTCAATTTTCATCCATAATAAAACAGTTTCACAGTTGGACAGACTTTCCAACAGTCAGGAAAAATTCAAGAGGAAACTTAAAAGTCAAAGAAATATGAGGGAATTTTAGATTAGGTCACAGAAGTTTTATATTTTACCAATCATCAGGAAGATGATGGTAAATTTCATAAATTAGTTAGTTTTTGTTCTTTCTTTTTATAGCAGTCTTTTGATATCAAATGCATACAATATTTATGATTTATATGTATACGCATATATAAAGATATATTTTTGATTTATTTAAATTATCTAGTTGTAGAATTGGAAACAAGTTATTTGGAGAACCCAAGATGGAGGTTTAATGCAGTGTGTATATATGTGTGTGTGTGGGGGGGGGGGGTCTTCTGTTGGCTGGTAGAGTGCAGGGACATGGCCAAGACATTTTAGCCAGAATGCAAGAGAGACACAGCCAAAACAAAAAAAAACATGGTTTAAAAACAAATACTTCTCCCTGATTCCTTCAGGAATGATGTCAAGACCACATTTTCGTTTCCACCATAGCATTCCAGCCTAATTCTACCATTGGGTATATCTGAAGACTGTGAGAAAAGTCAGTTGAATAAATGGGAGAAAAGAATGACTGTGAGGGGTAGAGGTGGGTCTTAAAAATAAAGTTTTATTGCATTTTGTCAGAGATTATAGGAACCCTGAAGGATCCTTAACATTTCAGTTAAGTACTCACATTTTTCAGCATTTGATTTTTCACTTTTTAATGGCATTTTTCTTCATAACAGATATGACCAACTTTTGTTCTCCCAAAAAGTACTGAAGTTGATTATCGCCAGCTTTCATTAAGTCAGGTACTTAATGGTTATTAACTGTACATCTCAAGTTATTTACTTCTTTGTAGAAGGTTTAACATACATTGTTATTTCATTATTTTAGTATCGTGAAAGTTATGTAGTGTTTCCCTATTTTTTCTTTCAGTGTGAACTATGATGCTTTCTTGATGACAATCTGACAAAGGTTAAAAACTGCAATCATATCACTGAAGAATTCCTGTTATGCAAACGTTAAAGCTCTGGATAAGAATGATCTTCCGACAGTGGTATAAAAAATTAGTTATTGCTGCCATTTTCGTCTTGGGTTTGTATTGCAGCCTACAACTTCTAGATAGTGGCAAACATAAATTGCGACATTCTAAGAACACCCAGACAACTCATCACAGCTCTGAAAGTCATGGCATTGTGGAAATAGATCCTGAAAACCAAATACCAGATAACCGGAACTTGTATAAAGTACCTAAAGAAGATATTCATATTGACATGTGTCCAGCCTGCTTTGGTAAAGAAATTTGTACTGATATTGAAGCTGGTTTGGTGGAAATTTCCAAAAATTCAAAAACTGAGTTCCGTGAATTAATTATGAGGGAAGCAAGTTTACATAAGACTGAAAAAGTTGTAGTTTCTTCTGTGACTGATGCTCTGTGGAATAAATTTGATAAATTTATTTGTCAAAATGCTAGTAAAAGTTTTCCTTGTGATGTATCTGCAGCTATCAGCACAGGTTATCTAACGTCCAACCAAGCTTTGACAGTTGATGGACTAAGAAACTTGTACAAAGTATTGGACAAATCAAAAAGTGAAGCTGTGTAAGTAATTCTCACTGCATCTGAATGATACATAAATTCCCTTTTATTTTCTAAATTTAAAGAACAACTGTTGTGTGATGAATACATATAAAGTTTAAAAACAAAATAAATAACATAAAAGCATGTTTACTTCTTACATTAGTCACTACACAGTTAAAAAGCTTCCTTAATTTAATAAGATACAAAGACATTAATGTTTCTTTGTAGAAAATGGGTATTATTGTTGTTTTAATAAGTTCTAAGATAATATAACATTTGAGAAATAGTTTTAAAATGATAGTAATAGTGCTTTCAGAAGTTCCACTTTCCTTTTAGGGAAGAAGTAAAATATACGATATGAAAATGCTCTTAGTAATTGGCTTTTTATTGTTATTTTATTATTGTATAATACTATGTACTTTTTTTAAGTATCATATATGAATATGGTATAGTTTGTTTTTCCTGTAATGATAGTTGGATGTCTTCTTTCCACAATTTGGCTGATGACTACATCAAGCTTTATTACTCTTGTCCTTCAGACATTTTAACCATTTTTAGGATAAAAGAATAAGGTTATCGTAATGAATACTACCTGCAAGTTGGATATTGAATGTTTCTATAATGAGGTACAACGTTTTAAACTTTTTATAAGTAATTCAGTATGCTCAACCAGAATATTTTGGAGGGTAAGTGGGAAGTCTCCAAAAAACTTAAGAAAAAGGTAACATTACAGAAAGCCACAGAGGTTAAGAAAACATTAAGTAAGGTTCCAATAACCTAGATTTTAAATTAAAATATTTTTTGCTATAAATGACATCTGAAATTTATTTACTCTCTGTCATCACGGCTAAATACTCAAATAAATCAACAGTATGCTTAAATCCTTCTCCTTTTTACACAACACAAATGTTTCTCTCATACAAAAGATGTTTTTTTTCTCCAAATTACAATATTTTAAGTGAATAACCTTTTAATGTTGAGGCTTATTTTTCACATTCTGGCCAAGTTGCTGTGTTCTGTTAAGGCTCATTTAATATTATCAATAATTTTTTTCCCAGAAGCTGAGTATCATTTGCAGATTTGAAGTGTGGTACCCTTGCACATTACATGAGCAAAAATAACAGTCATCTCCATGGTTTCTAAGCTCAAACCAGACAATTGGAATTCTAAAAGGCAAAGACTTTTTCTTACCTTTATTTAGTCCATTGTCTCAACTCTTCGACACAAAGAGTGCAAACTTTGTGCAGAGTCCATGATTTGTCTTGGTCCCCAAGTATTATTCCAAAATAAGTGTAATACGCTTTTTTGACAAATTCTGTAATGTTTCTGTAATCGGGTCTAGGAGAAGGTTTCTCTTGGATGTCAGACTTTTGCTGATGCTGCAAAGGTCTATGACTTCTTTCCTATTACAGCCAATGACTCACCAAGAATGCCTGATTGAGATCTTCCCCTGAAGTTTGACCCCAGTGCAAGAGAAGCACGAACAAATGAGAGTCGTTACAGTGGTACTGTACCTGGTGAGTCTGGGACAGTTTGTATAGGTCATCCAGACCTTCTACAGATGTTGTAACTCCACACCAGCTCTGGTCAAAGCCACATGACATTGGTTGAGAAGGAGTGGTGGTGCTGTTGGTGGAGAATGAGGAGTAGTAACATGAGGTTGAATTGCTTGAAGGCTGAGTTCAGATGGTATAGTAGGCACCTATGGAGTTGGGTCCAGTGTAGTAATGTTCTTTTCACAATCTATAAAGCATGAGCTGTAGAACAGCCTGTATTCAGGACCAACCCATAAACAAATTTGGCAACTTCTGAAACATTTGATATGTCAACAATCAAGTCATCATCATCCATGTGCTCTGCAAATCCAAAGGCTAAGCTTGCTCTGGACATCTTGGGAATGGCCACAAGGGTCTTCAGCATGGTTGAATAGAAAGTCATGTGTGTATTTGTCCTATAGCTTCTTTGTATGATGCAGTATGAAAAGCACATGTACACCAAAGAGAATGAAAACAACATTGGCCAGGAAAGTTCAAAATCTGATTTTAAATAGCAAATGTCAGGCCTGAAAACATGTTTTTGAATGTAACTCATACCCAATAATGACTCAGTACCATGGGTTGAAATGTTTTAATTATTAAACTCAGAACTTTCCTACTGCAGTTATTGTATTTTTTAACTAATTGTTCAATTCAGTAGGTTTCTCACTAAACATATTTTTAGGTTAATTTATTGATTTTTTTCTATGTAACTTCACTTTTTCTATGTTGTAGCTTACCTATTTGTGCTACAAATAAACTCATACATGAATTGATATCAACATTTGATGGGAATGGGGATCGCCAGCTGAATCAAGAAGAACAAGGCCATCTAATGACTGGCTTACTTCTACATCCGAGCTATGTTGTTTTAAAGGTTAGTAGACAGTTTCTAGATGAAACCACTCACACATATGACCAGTTAATGTTTAGAAAGCTTTTGGTTTCAGTGTTCTTTACAAATATATTGGATATCATTGTAGTTGGAAAATTAAATGTAAGAAACTGTTCTTGTTCTCAACTTTTTTTTTTTAATCTCAGGTATTTCTTGTCATCTGTGTAAATTAGTGTTCCTTCTGTGATTGCTAACATAATGTTGTTTTTTAACTCAATTTTCATATCTCAAAATTGTTTGAACAGAAACGTGATTCTGTAAATAAAAGCATTAATTCTCTCATGACTTAAGAGTTTTGAGTAGACTGTTATCATTATTTACCAAGTGACCCTACTCATTGAAATGTAACCCCTAATAAGGAAAGGGCCGGCATGGCCCGGTGGATAAGTCACTCGACTCGCAATCCGAGGGTCGCGGGTTCGCGTCCATGTTGCACCAAACATGCCCACTTGGGCATGGGGCTAGCAACTCCACCCCAATAACAATCTGCTACAGAAACTGCAACAAAACACTTCCGTCGGCGAAGTGTTGTAGCCCTATGTTCCACTAGGAACGACAGGAACTAAGAAGAAGAGGAATAAGGAAAGGTTTGGGGTTAAGGTCATAATGGGAAAAAAAAAAGGAAAGATGTTTCATTTAGCAATTTCATTGTTAATTTAAGCATCTTATACGACTATCTGAGCCTTTGGTATTTGTCAGATGATTTTTACCCTCTCACTCAAAAACATTTTTTACATAAAACATTGAATGGATGTTTATGTTTAGTTATAGTAAAGTGTGAATATGGTTTTAGTTTTATTTTCCAGTTCCAGGATGCAATAAGCTCCAATCTGCCTCTTCCTAATTTTCATGGTACTTGTGGAAGGCTGGCTGTTTGGGAAGGTGGTATGACACCTCTTAAGGATCATCTTCAAGAGTCATTCGAGGAGCGAGCTGGACTCGCTGCTCAGTTGCTGCAGCTGGTGGATGATTTTCAGGTATAACTGTTAGTGATTTATAAACATTTACTTGAAAATTTGTATGATAATATCAGATATCTTTTTTTTTGCAGTTTGTAAAATCCAAAATTAATTCAAGAAGTGTTCCACTATGATGTTATATCATTTCAAACTTTCAATTTATTCTTCTCTACTGCTGTTAGCGTGTGTTTTTAATTTTACAATAATTTTACCTTCAGTTATATGTTTTTTACTTTTTAAAACAAATGTTGTGGACCAAAGTTCCAGTAAAATTATAGCTACAGCCAGTATCCTTTGTCTATGATAAAATAAAACACTATAAAAGTGTGATGGGAAATAACATCATATCACAACTTAAAGCTTGTTTGACCTTAATGTTTATCAGCATGTTGCATTCTTTCATTGTAAAAACAAAATGGTATAAGTAAAAATTAAAGAAAGAAGAAATATTCATTTTTAGTTCAGAGTTTTTTATACACTTCTACAAAGCTGTCTAGGCATCCCTTAATGTGTGACATAGTACAAAGATACTGCACTGCAAAAGTACTCGATATACAGACATATACAGAGACACAAGTATATTAGTAATGTTAGTATGTAAAAATACCAACACAATACAATTTATGTAATTTGAAGAGGAGAGATCTAGTCAGCTGAAAGTGTGGAAAGTAATTGCTCATTAAAGCTGGGCAATTAACTCAATTAATTAATATAATGGATTACCTATGAGCATTAATTATTAGTTTGTGTCATGTAAGATAATCATCTATTGTTTCCAATTATTACTGTGTTTGATTATTCCATCTATCCAGTAATCAGTATTATGATTAAATTAATCACTATCATGAAAATAACCAACTGACAAAAATAGTGATTCTGGTTAATTCAGTTATCCAGTAATTTAATTATTACAGTTATGATTTTTCATTATTACTTTTGATTAATTCAAGTTTGTTCAATTCAACCCTCTCCACATGGGTCACGGGTTAAAGGCCATGTCATCGCATTTGTTGACTCACATTCAAAATTTTATTGAACTACTATTTGATGAATTTATGTCAATAAGTTTGGTATCAAACTGAAGATTTAATTCAAATTTTAGTATTATACATTATTCAATTTCTTAATTTAAAAGTAACTATTAAAAAAACACAGCTAAACATTGATTTTTGTGTGTCATGTGGTATGGTGAATGCAGCACTGGTTCAAATTAAATGTTTGTGATGTCAAAATACAAAGTCTGTAGTTTCATACGAATTAGGAAGTCAAATTACCGATATAAACAAGCTAGAATATAAAATAAGAACCTCCTATCTTTTCTGTTTACTGAGATATCACACATGTACTGAATCAAACACAGTGGCCTTATATACACTTACTTTTGTCTATGACATGCGAATAGCCAATCGAAAGCTCAGAATGTCCCCCTAGTGGCTCTCTCAGCCATTTTCAAGTATTAAGACATCATCTTGTTCTTTCGATATAAAACTTCAGGCTGGTAGGTTGAGTCTTTAGTCTGCTCAAAATTTCATATTTTTTTAGTCCCAAATATAGCTAGTTACTAAATTTTATAAATTATAGTGGAATGCTATGATATTGATATAGTAATTTATGGTTTTTTGGTTATTTCAAATGTATATGTAAAGTCTTAAAAAAAATTATTTTGTTTCACATCCTCCACGAGCAAAATTTTATAAGGCTTAGCAACCTACGATAAGCAGCAAATGAGTACAAAGGTCGTTACTAGAAGAATTCATTGTTTGCTTTACTTCTTTATTTACTGTTCTATGTTTTAAGAAAAATAAGTTTAAGAACTTGCATGTAGATAGTAATAATGTTTATACATATATAATGTATAATAATTGAAATGTAACTGTATTTTACAAAATACTAGTCCAATAAAACACAGCAGATCACTTTGTAAAGACTAAAGGTCAATTTTATATTACTGGCTACAGTGACAGTAGTGCATGTTAGCAGCAGTTAGCCAGACATTGCTGAAGGGTCAATATAAAAAAAAAATAATATATATATATATATATATATATAATAGT